CGCGGCCACTTGAGGAAGGAAGGCAGCGTGCCGCGGGATCCGCACGTGCGAGGACAGGCCGGCCCGGGGCAGGGAGGGCGCCGGGACCTGCCCACAGGGCCCGTGGTCGGGGACTGAGCAGCCCTTACCCGTTCTCCCGGGTCCCCCACTTGGCCAGTGGGACCCATCGTTCCTGGAGGTCCTGGGAGACCCTAGAAGGAAACACAAAACCAGACAGTCAAAGATGCAGCCGCGGAACAGTTCCCGCCCGGCCAGGGGGGGGGGCGGGGCCGGGAAAGGGCCCGCCCCGAGGCATCCGCACCCGCTTTTCCCAGCCCCTACACGCCTCCCAGGATTCGTAGGGGGAACAGAACACCATACTCACGGCGGGGCCTTCCGGGCCGGGCGGCTCCTCCAAGAGCATGCCCTGGGAGAGACCAGAGAGGGCGTCTGAGGCCCCAGGACCCCTTCCCTCCATCCCCGGCCGACCCCACCCCACCCCAGCCCTGAGCATGGCCTCCAGGCCAAGCAGCCACAGGACACAGACTCGGGCCTCCGGTCCACACCCACCGCCCCGGCAGGGGACCCAAGCAGCAGTCTCTGTGATGGGGGCTGGGGTGGCCACGGTGGCCGTCCTGAGTGTGTCGGGGCAGCACCAAGCCCCAGACGGCAGCCAACAGGCTTCCCTCAAGAGCAGCTTCAGGGGAGGGGGGGGACCAGGACCACCAGCCGCACCTCTGGCCCTCCTGTTCCCTGGGGGAAGGAGGCAGCGCCCGGGCAGGCCCTGGGGACGGCTGCCTGAGGGAACAGTGGACCCCAGGACGGGGCCCACCGAGGGTGGAGGACCACTGCCCGGCGGGTTCAGGGAGAACGAGGGAAAAGAGACACCACAGGCCGAGGCCTCCGGCCCCGAGAACCATCAGGCCGGCTGCTCAGATGGGCTGCCCGGCGGGCTCCCGGCCCTGCGCCCTCCAAGGGGTGCTCCCCGCCGCCCAGCAGCGGCGCAAGCGGGAAACGCCGCAGAGTCCGCTGGACAGCCAGTGCCCTCCTACCCCAGCCCCTCACCTGGCTGAGCCCAGGTCCACCCGGCCTCTGGCCCCCAGGCCTCACTGTCTTTCCCCCCAAATGGGGGCAAGGCCTCCCGTCCCCGCCCCGTCCACCTGGGCCCCAGAGTCTGTGCGGGCAGTGGGGGGGGGTCCAGCTCTCTGAGGTCAGGGCTCCTGGCCCGGGGCTCCCCACTAGGAGGCCCCTACTTCAGCCTCCTTCCCAGCAAGACGCTTCTCTCTACTCCTGTCCCGTCGACGCCAGAGCTGGGCAGGCCCAGCACCCCGTCTTCCACGCCCACTTCGGGGGGCTGAGGCAATGCGTGGCCTTCCAGGGAGGGAAAGGGTCTCCTGCCGCTGCAGGGGTCTGCATGCTCAGAACACAGTGGGGATGGTATCTGGGGGTCCGAGGACCAGGTGGCTTCAGCTGCATGTGGGGCCAGTGGGCGCAGTGGATCCCCCCTCCCCAGAGTTCCTGTGACTGCTGGGGCGGCGTGGGAGGGCTGGACAGACTGGCCCTGGGGCAGAACTGCCTCCTGCCCCCCCCCCAGAACAAAGCAAGCTCGGCTGCTTCTCCCGGGGCCTGGCCCCTGCTGCTCTGTCCCAGGCTTTTTCCTGCAAGTGACCAGTCCTGGAGTTGCTGCCGGGGAGTAAGAGGATGTGCCCAGGAGAGGCACGGGGGATGGACTCCAGGCCGGGGTGGGGGGGGCGCACGGTCCGGGGCGGCGAGCCCCTCCGAGCCCCTCATCCTCCCACCAGGGCTGCCCGGTCTCTGTGAGGCTGCGCCCTGTGTTCACACAGATGTGCACTGAGAGACGTGTGTGCACGCGCGGTGCACATAGGGAGTTCACCCGAGCGGCCTCGCAAACCCTGGCTTTCCTGCTTCCCTCTCTGACAAAGGCCACGGCGGGGGCTCAGAAGCCGAGGAGGGATTAGGGGAGAACGCCCCGGCCCCGTCGGGCCCGGGGCGCCGCAGCCGTGCTCCCAGACACACCGACTGTCGGGTCCGGGGGCGGGGGCGTGGCGGGCAGGCCCTCATGGGAGCGCCAGCCCGGACCACTCCGGGCGGTTCGGGGAGGGCCGGGAGCTGCTGGATGGCCAAGCATGGTGAGGGGTGCCTGCGCTCTCCCAGGCTCGGCCATCGCCAGGAAGGGGCCCGGGGCCGCCGCCCCTCCGAGGAGGGCTCCCAAGGCCACGGAGAGCGGAAGCCCCCTGCAGGAGCCGGCTCCACGCCCTACCAGGGAGCAAGCTCTCAGCCTGAGAACTGAACTCTTACGGGAGGCCCGTCCATCTGCTGAGCGGCACAGACCGAGAAGACCCTCCCTGAACCACGGGGGACGGAGACACGACCATCTTCTGCCTGTGGTGGGTGCTCACCAGCTGTTCCCTGCGATGGACTCGGGGGCCCCGTCCCTTTCAGGGGCCGCTGTGCTGCGGGCCGGTTACAGCAGGCCCTGGACCTGACTGGGAACCAGCCCGAAGTCCCTGGCATGGACAGGAGAGGAAGGGCCACTTCCGAGAGCTCCCTGGACAGTGAGTCACATGGCCCGAGGGAGGGCGCGGGGGCAAGTGGCAGAGAGAGGAAACAGCCTCCAGCCTCCACGGGCCGGGACGCCCGCGTGGTCAGCAGCGAGACCCCGCCAGCCGCCTCCCAGGACTCGGCCATGTGTCTATGGGGAACTAAGACTCCGAGGACAGCTGGCGAGGTTCCAGGTTGAGAAATTCTAACTGTCTACATGAGCTCTCCGGCGGGAACTGGCCTCGGCCCCACAGGCTCTCCCCGCAGGCTGGGGGCTGGGGGGTGCGAACGCCAGGGCCAGAGGGGGCGGGCATCCTTCCCTGGCTGCGTCCAGATGGCCCATTCCTCCCCGAAAAAAAAATGAAACAAGTCTTGTGGAGACATGCTGTTTGTGTTGGACCGCCTCTGTTTTCTCAGCCCTCTCCCCTGGCCCACGCTCCACGGTGGAGCCTGGTAGAGCCTGGCAGCAGGACACCCCGTGCACCAGCCTCACCCCCCGCCCCTTGCACAGATCTGGGGCACTATGGCTCTCCCACAGGGTCAGCCCAGTCGGGGGGACGTGCGAGCAGGAAGCTCGTGTGGACCGAGGTGCCGGCCCGGCCCTCGCACAGCGGGGACCAAAGCCAGGACTCCGCAGAGCCCAGCTGCTGCCTGCCCATGGGGCTCGCTCTTGCCAGGCAAGATACTCCTTTCACTGAAGCGACAGGGACACCACAGAGGCCACCCAAGTCAGCGGCAGTCCACTGCGGACCAAGGCCACCTGCGGGAACGTCCAAGCCGGTCGCGACTTCCCCGGGAGGTGCGCGCAGCTGGCCGCAGGGGAGCCCTGCTGGAGGCGGGCCCCTCACCACTCCCCCAGCTGCAAGGGCAGCAGGGGTCTCAGCAGCCCAGCCCTTCGGGGGCTCCCCCGACTTCCGGCTGCAGTGCTCTGCCCCGAGGGTCACCCTTCTCTCTGAACCTGGACTTGGTGCCAGGGCTCCTCACGTTGCCAAGTGAGGGCCTACCTGGTGCTGGCGGAAGCCCTGCGCCCCCATCCCCTGGCCTCAGACAAGCCCTGTGTCTCTTGGACCCCAGGGAGCAACGGAAAGGAGATGGTCCCAACCCAAGGAAAGGATGTGTGTGCCCAGCGGCTGCAGCCCTGGGGGAGCGGACGGGCCCCTCCCTGGGACAGGCCTGGAGGGAGCCTGGAGTGGGACAGTCACCCAGTCCTGGTCCTGTCTGCCCCAGCCACTGGCCTCATGTGCCAAGGGAGAAAAGGGTCCGAGAGACCCTCCCCAGATCCACGAGAGGAGGGGCCTGCCTCAGCTCTGCATCCCAGGAGCCCCAAGATCAGAAGGGCCCTGGAGTCTCCAGCCGCAGCCTGGGCTCAGCCACC